CCTTACAAAATGTGACAGAGGCAGTTGCTGAAACAAAGAGGTAGGGCAGCAGCATCCTCAAACAAAGTGTATTACTGTTCTTCACAAGGAAGGTTGTCTGTGACCCCTTGTTTTTTTTCTGTCACCCCATTTCAGCAAGTAGTGCTGGCTTGCTCAGGGACCATTTCAGTAGATCATACACATTAGCCAAGTTCTAAAATACCGCCCTGCACCATACGCTACTTAAAGTATAATAATCCTTTAATCTGTCCACTGCATGACATCTGGGCAGTTATTTGATGTAGTAATTCATGTTGATTGTGCATATCAGTGTGCATCAGAGGAGAGAAGCACCAAAGCAGTGGTTCAGAGATGAGGGTTTAGGAAAATGCCTGTGGGGCAGTGCCTTGGATCAGAGGAGACCTACCTGCATGTGGCAGGTGACCAACCTGCCACCGAACTGGCTGTGTAAAATCTTTGTGTGAGAGTAATATTATCCTGAGATAAGCACACAACAGAACAGGAGGGGGAAGATAAACTACCAGGACCCAAGTTACAGAAGCACATTAGTATTTACTCAATATCTCTTTATACCCTCTAGTCAGCACAACAGATGTAGCTCTGTTTTAAGACATTATCATTCATTGAAAAAGGCAAAAAAGATAGTCTTTCCCTCCCTCCCATCCCCGGTAATCTCAGATGTTTGCCGTGCGCGCCAGGGGGAGGAGGTGGAGAGCCGAGCGCTGGTGGGAGAAGAATGCAATTATCCCAAAGCCTCCTGACAGGCATCCAGTTCTTTCTTCCAGCTTAGCTGCTCTGACCACAGGCTGGGGGCTCGTGGGACATGGACCAGATTGAAAAAGTGGAAGCAGACAGATGGTTATTTGTAATCATCATGTAAATGTAAATCCTATAAAAATGTTTTCTTTCTAAGGGCCTGAAAGCTGTTGTAGTGGAAAGCAGGATTAAGGCATGGATATCTAGCCTAGAATAATGTTGACCCCACAACCTTCCCTCCTACCCCATAAACATTGTGGCTTTATTGCTGCTTCCTTTAAACAAATTGCTAGAGCCTCGGTCGAGGAAATTAATTCGGTTTCCATGTCATTCCCTGAGTTTATGAGCACTAGTTTGACCGAGGCCTGGATTTAGGCCTAAGCTGGCAGGTGCTGGTAAGCAGTTGCCTTGGTAGCAGGGACTTCTTTTTTCTTCTTTCTCCCTCACTCTGGCAGGTGTGTGCGAGTGTTTATCTCAGCACTGCCATTGCTGGATGTGCTCGCTTTCTGTGATTACGCTTGTGGGTACCTGTAAATGGCCGTACAGGACTTTGCATGCTTTAAAGATTGACGTGACAGCTCACAGACATCTATCTTGTTTGAGCAGCATCAGCTTGTTCGAGCTACAAAGAGACCAATCAAACTTTAATTAACTTTTGTCCAGAGCACCATTGTAGGCTGTGTGTACGATTTAGCTATCCTTTCCAGCTCTCCAGTCCCCTGGTGCCTTTCCAGACAGCAAGGTGTAGCCATCCAGAAGCTTTTGCCCTTCTGAGGCTTTACCTCTCAAAACATGAGAATGTTTGGGCTGCCATCAGGCTGGCAGAGGGGAGCAGCTCCCTTTTGCATCGCCGTCACTGCCATTGGGGCTGCGCGGCAGCCTCCAAGGTCCTGCTCTCCAAGGAGACCAGGTGCACTGTGGTCCCAGTGTGGGCAGGCAGGACACGATGCCAGCTATCTTTCTCTTTGGCATCCCTTGCTAAATGTAGGGTAACACCCATGCAAGCACAAAGGGAGCTGCGTAACTTATGTTAAAATTGGAATAAAGGAAAATAAGAACATGGGATGAGGAAGAGGAGCCTGATGGCAATGTTTCGCCACTTGCGTTGAATTTTTAAAATGCTAGTATTTGTGCCCTGCCAAGAGGGCTCTGAGGAGGGCTAGCTTCTGAAGTGAACAAAAGCCTCTTGCCAGTGTGTGGAGAGGGTGATCTGCTCAGGCACGCTAATAGTTATTTGGAAGTACCCAGCAATTGTGGATAATTGGCTGAGGAATATTCTGCAGCTCTCAACCATTTTTCTGTTTTCACAGATGATTGTGCCATTAGATATGGTGAATGCACTAAGCTGTGCTGCAACTTTTCCATTTACTGTGCTAATAAGTGTGAACCCAATCTCCAATTGATGCTCCTTTCTTCTGTGGCTTTCTGTGCTGCTGGAGTGGGACAGCCAAGCTCACTAGCTCGAGCTCTGGTCTCCTCCGCACACCTCCTTCCTCTTCCCTGCTCATTCTCTCTCAGGGTGATGTTTGGATATGCTGGGATAGCTGTGCTGATCAGATTAACATCTGTGCTTTGTATCATTGTTGTTATATTGCATTAAAAGCACTGAATCACAGGAATGGCAGCCCATGCCCTCTGCTCTTTACCTTGTTTTTCTCTCTGCTTTATTCTTACTCTTTTCTTTCCTTTATCTGGCTTTTTGGTTTTGCTCTCCCTAAATTTACAGTGTTCCCCCTCTTCCTCTCTGAGTTGTTTTCTCTCTTTAATTTATATTCCACGCATTTTTCTCTTATCTTTGTCTTTCTGTCCCTGCTTTATTTTTTCCCCTATTTCATTTTTCTCCCACCATTTTTTTGTTCTCCAAAATACAGAATGCTTTAGATGGAAATGGTGAGATATAGCTATTCAAGATTCGCATATGTGCTGAGGTACACAGCAAGATTAAGTAAACCCCGTAGCATCAATTTTGTCTTCCATTCAAGCCAGATTTGCAGTAAGACTCGGGTAAAGGAATGTGATAAAATCAAATCACCTCTTAGCCTCATATTCTGAAGCTGATTGGAACCTTACACAGTTGCTGGGATAATTCAGAGAAAGCTGATGTAATTTGCTGTGTATCACCCCAACAAACTGCATTTGCCGGCTTCATATAGCAGTGTGAATTGTTCAAGGAAAACGCTTTCCTTAATATTGCTGCCAGGAGTTAGGAGACAGGAGTATAAAGTCATTATGTTGTGGGATCTGCTGATTTTCTGGGGATTTTCCACTAATGGATTTGCACTGAAGTTCTGTAATTGTGCAAAGAATCAAGCCAATAAAAATTAATTAATTTTTATTATGTGTAAGAATAATGTAAGAAGTTGGTGTTTATCCATTTGCCTGTTACATGAAAGAGGCCACAGCATTGCTTAGAAGTATTTTTTCTTCCTGTGTATCACAGTAATCAGAGACACATGAAGATGCTTCCTAAAATAGGTGATTTTATAAGACTTTTTTTTTGGTTCTTTCCCTGAAATTGCTGTGGCATTAGCTTCTTTGTCTTTGCAAAATGTTGTAATGCCAAATAGTCAGCAGCCCATGATCTTCAGCGTACTGTTCCTGTGTTGTGCATTGCATAAGTCATTCCTTCCATTTGATCTTGAAGCTGTATAAATTCCATTTCTGTCAATTTGATTATTGTGAATCAAAAGTGTATGACTGATTTGTATTAATCAGAAATATTTTGGGGTTGAGTCTTTTATTATCAGTTGGAAAAAATGTACCAGTTGGGTGTGTCACCTAAGAAGACTACAGGTTCTTGCCAGAGCTGCATTTGTTGCCAACTGTGTCCTGTCACTTTTATTTTATGCTTCAAGAGCAAGACCTAAATAATCACTCTTTTTTGTGTTAGAAAAGGAATTAACTTCCAATTAATTCCCTTCTTCCTCTGGGATCTACCTGTGTATCCCAAAATGGGGAACAATAAAAGTTACCTCCTATGTCATTTTGAGTGCCACATATATACAGTCTGCTCACCTCAGCCCATTCAGAGACCAATTCTTGTATGTATTAATCATATTTTCTTCTGGCTTATTACAGAAAAGAAAAATATTCAGTTCCAAATGTTAAAATGGGGCACATTTTATTAACATTGAAAGCAGTAAATTATCTCTGCTTATGAAATGAGACTGAGTAATTTCTGCTGAACTCTTCCTGACTTGCCCCTTCACTAGGATACAGTGTTTTCTAATTTCTCAGAGGGCCCTGGTTCCATTAAGGGCAAGAACTGTTTTAAAGCAGTAATGGAAAGCCATACATAGCTGAAATTCAAGGAGGGGAAATGCCCTAAATTCTATTTCAGTAGCTCATCTAGAGCTATTTTCAGTTTTATGTTTATAAGAATGTCAATTAACCTAGAGACTAGGACATACATGGAAGAATAACGATGAAGCTGATATCATTTTAACACACTGAAGCCAGCTAGTTGGACCTAATCCTTCTTTATAGTAGCTTGATTTACATTAGAAGCTGGCCTGTGTTGCCTAATTTAGTTCTCAAACAGCTTCATAATTTAAATGCTCTTTCCTTTCAGTGTCATGGGACAGCACTGGTCAAAGTTGCAGAAATATTAAAACTAAAAAAATAAAAGGAATAAATAAATATGCTGGAACCACACTACCATCAGCTTGATTTCTCTGACACCTTTCAGACCTGGTGATCACTTCGGCATGTATTTGGTGATAACAGTAATAACAGTAATAATAACAATACCCTTAATCAAGGTGTAACTCTGCAATCAATATCAGTTGTGTCACTTCTTCACCTAGCTTATGCTGAAGTTGGAGATCCAGGCAAGCCACATATTCAGCATGTTGTTTTCTGTTATGAAAAGAACTCAACATCAGACCCGCAATGCTACTTTTGCAAGGATGGGAAGTGACCCTGTCAGGGTTAAAAAGAGTAATGGGTGCTACAGGTCTTTCTAATTTAAATGCAGAGCAGTGTTCTTATCTGGAGAAAAAAACAAGGAAAAAGCCCCCATGTATGTGAAATCTGCCTCCATTGCTCAAAAGGTCACGCCTCACCAACTTCTTTTATGAGACCTTTTACAGTAAATGTAAGATGCAAAGTCAGCACCTAATAATGGTTGAGACTTGTTTGTTTGTTTGTTTAATATTATATGTATCTGCATGTATTTTTTTCCCCGCTTACAATGTCATCACTTCTATTAATTTTTTTCTTCTGTCCCTCATTTATTGCATTAGTGCTACGGGATGACTTCCGCCAAAACCCTACAGATGTTGTGGTGGCAGCTGGAGAGCCTGCCATATTGGAGTGCCAGCCACCTCGTGGACACCCTGAGCCTACCATCTACTGGAAGAAAGATAAAGTCCGTATTGATGACAAGGAAGAGCGGATCAGTGTGAGTACAACTCGAGTGGTTGTCTAGACACACAGGACCTGCATTGAAGCTGAGTGCAGCAGAACTTTACAGCTTTATAGCCTTTCCTGTAGAGACTCGTCATTACTATTGGCAGTTTGCCTCTCTGGGCTTTCCCAAATGAAGGGGGAGAAGGTTGTTTATTCATTCTGGTTTGGGTCTCCAACTTGAACTTCTTGAGGCTTGATTTGTATAATGAGTGTAATGGAGGTCATTACAGCAGTAGATATGATCATGCAAGGTGCTCTGTTAGATGGGGGGACTCAGTGGATGTCTGACCAATTTGGCCTTACTTTTTCTAGACCTGAGTTCGCTGAAACGAGATCTCAGTTCAGTGAAATGAGAATATCAGACCTTATATCAGAGAGGTCTTTTAAAGATAAAATCAGTCATATCTATAAGGTACACAAATACTCCACGGGAAAAGACCAACAGCTTAGGTATTGGTAAAGTTGTATTTAGTGTGGTAATTGGCATGTGTATTCTAAATGAAGGCTGAAGTTATACTCTAAAGAATGATTGTTCCTGAATAGGAATACATGTTGAATAAATGAGTAACACTGGTTTGAATTCTGTGACAGTTCAGTCCTTGTACTGAATGAAAAAGGATCCAGCAGAAATACCTAACTGATCAAGTGATTAGAAGTTATATCATAGTATGTGCAAGTAAATGGGATAACTTAAGGGTGAGGGGATATATTTCATTCCTAATTTTTAAATGCTTAGCTTTCAACTATTAATATTCCTTCAGTAAAGTTTTATGTTTTATGTAATGATATGTAACTCATTCACTGCTGACCTTATTCAATACAGAAGTACTGTCAAGAAGCTTGTTTGTTGCTCTGGATGCCTAAGGAAGTATTTAAAGCTAAACAATCTCAGTAGTTGCTATTTGTGGGCCAGACTGTCCCTGCCAGGGTCTGCTCAACAGTAGAGGAAGGAAGAGTGACAGGGAACTGGCTGTCATTCCCTGACTCTCAAGTTTTTTTGGCTATATTCCTAGATTATTCTGAAGCACCCCCTTTTCTAACTTTGAACACTGTCTGTGACTTCCTAAGCTGCCAATTTGTTACTTTGTTTCTTTCAACTACCCTGCTCCTTCACTCTGTAAGCACCCTTTGTAGCCAGGAAAATGTTAAGTCTTATGGGAGTCAGGTGACTTCTCAGTTTGAGCTAGATTCAGTCTGTTTGCATCAAGGAAAAGAGAAAAATCTGTCTTGATCAGTGAACAAGGGAAGTGTTCAGACACCAGTAAAATAAAATGAACTAAATAAAACTCAGTAAAATTGCCTTTTTCGTGAGAGAGATGTCAAGAAGGCTTTACGTATCATCATGCAAGAAATACAAGCACTCTGCATTGCCAAAGAGGCAGCAAGAAATGTAATCTTTGAAATGTAAAGCATCTAATGAAAACCGAAGAAAAAAACTGAAATGCAGTTAAAATCAGTCAGTAGGATAAAATGTGTTCTACAATAGCTTAAAGATATTTAAGTATATAGGATTGTAATTTTAAGGATATGCATATATTTAAAAACAAAACTTTTAAATGCCTTAGTTGTGGAACTTGCCAGCTGAGAAGGTAGCTTTTTTCTGCTATCTTTTGTTTATCTGAAGTTAAAAACATATTCCTTGTTTTGAAACAGATACGTGGTGGGAAGCTGATGATCTCCAATACAAGAAAAAGTGACGCCGGCATGTATACTTGTGTTGGAACAAACATGGTGGGGGAGCGAGACAGCGACCCAGCAGAGCTGACTGTCTTTGGTAAAGCGACTCAAGCTTTTGTTTCCTTTTCGCTACTAATGTCATAGACTGAATTGACCTGCATGACTTATCAAAATATGAGACAAAACAAGGTTAACAAAACACAATAGTACTGCTTAAGCTGCATTTCACAGTTTCTGAAGAAGACCAGGTTTCAAAGGCTGCAATTTAGAATTATGGAGCCGTGATGGCTCAACGTTTTCTTTCTAACCGCATAGTTTCAATCTAATTGGACGTCCTTAGTGCTATGCGTACACTCAGAGATGATAATGCAGGACATAATGCTCTCCCCCACAAAATTGCCAAATGTAATTAAGCTACTTGTAATACAGTTGACAATGCCTGCTTAACAGAGATTTGGACCAGCATTGCCTATTTAAATAATTCCTTATTCCTGTGGGGTTGTGAAATCAAACCTTTGTAGGAGAGCACAAAAGAGCTCAACCGATCAGTATAAAGTCATTGGAAAAAATCCCGAGATCAACTTTTTGAATGTATAGAGATACTTTTGTAATTTGTTTTTTAAAGGGCATGAAACAGCTTTTCATCCTGTAAACCAGGGCATCATTTAGCTTTTGGGTGCTGCTGAATGCATCAAAAATGAATAGGGTTCCTGTGTGAAAGAGCTTCCAGACCTGATGGGCAAGGCAAGAGGTTGTTAGGAACATTTGCCCTATGGTTAGGGTCTAAAGCAAGAATAGAGTAATATTAAACCCAGAGCTAGATCCATCCTGCTAACAACTGGATAAGAAGTAAAGCCCCAAAATCTTGCTGTGGTACATCCTGCAGTCATGACATTTCTATTCACCATTAGCTGTGGTTTCGTAGGAATTAGGCAAGACGTCTTGAGCAAACAAAAGAAAATCAATAAGGGAAAAAACCCTCACTGCTAAAGAAAACACATACATGCATACAAAAGAGAAAGAGAAAGAGAAATAGTATTAATGTTCCCTCTTGCTACACCTCTTTGATATCCTTAATACAATACCAAAATTCCAAACAAGACTGCTTGTAATTTCAGTAAGACTTTTCACAGAAATCCTAAGGCCCTTTCTGAAGCAGATGCTCCTAATTTGTTCACCTTCTGCCTAATACGGTGCACTGGAAAACCCAGTCACACATATTGCCATCTGTGTTTGCATGTATGTGCAATTGCACATGTTTGTCCACTTTAAAAAAACATGTTATGGGATTAAGAAAAGGCATAGATAAGTTTCTGCTAGACAAGATCTGTGAGTGACTGAGGATTTGCTGCTTTCCAGCATTTTAAGACTGTAAAGGCTTCCACTCCACTTAGTTTGTTGTGGATTCATGGAAGCATACGACTTTTAAAGACAGAACTAATATACCTTGCAAAAAGCACGGAAAGGATCTCTATCAAATTATTATGTCCTTTGCAGCCAATCTGTTGAAGTCGTGCCTTTATACTGATGTAAAAGAGGCATGACATATCTTCTTCATCAGTTTAAGTACTGATAATCTCTGGTAATACTCCCTGTGGATAGCAAGCAGATTGCAGTCCTAAACTACAAAGCCTTAAAAAATCCTTAAGAAAAGAATTTGTTAAAAAGCATTGAACTGTAGGAATAAAAACTGAAATATGCATGTAATTTCATATCCTGCAGAGCTATGAAAAGTATTAAGTTTGTCTTGATATGTAAAATAATACATAGCCAATTACAATATTCTCATTTTTTAATAGGATTTAATCATAGCAATCAACTCGTAAAATATGATCTAAGCCTATTTTGTGAATTCTGAGCAAAATCAGCAATAAATGAAATTAGATATTTTAATTCTTCATAATTGTGCTAGACTACCTAAAGAAAATTGTATTTAAAATTTCTTTCCTGTCTGGGTATCTTCCTATGTAAAATTCCCCTTCTATCTAGGTATTCCCTTCCTATCTTCCTTTTTACTGTACAAGAATAGCATGCAGGAAGCAGGCACGCAGGTTAGGATCTGCCGTTTGACAAGATGATTCGACTATCCTGTGCCCATTTCCCGGCTGCCACCTCGCCCTGAAGCTCTGTGTTGGTGTATTGGGCTCACTGTATAGACATGTCCAGGTTAGTCCTGGTCCACTCCATACAAAAGGAGGTGGCTTGGCTTTGCCTTCCACGAGCAGAGCAGTTGTATTCCATTCTTGGACTCCAGGCAGCATCTCTTGTGTGGGTGTGTGTGTGTGCAGTGCACTGGAGAGCGTTATCCATGATGTTTCTAGGAAGCAATGTATCTACTGGACAGTCCAATCAGTCTAAGCATACACAATAAATCCAATAAATCCAGCAACTCTGGGAAGCGTCAGATTGGCTGTGCATGTTCAGAAAGACTTTACTGAACACAGGCAAAACCACAGGTCATCTGTTAAGTCCACTGCCTTCCTCTAATATGACTCACAGGTTTGAGGAACATGGGAATAGTGCAAGTGTTGAGAAAAATATGCTAAAAATATCATAATACTTACGTATTATTCATGTGCCCAACTTTAACTGTCTTGAACATATTTGAAAATGGGCTTTATAATTAAAATGAAGATATCTTAGCTAAGAGGCTTTGAGAATTTAATAAAACGGCTGGCAAGCCTACAGCTGATGCTGATTCTGGAGAGGAATGTGTATTAATTAGCTGATTACTAATGTCTCTATTCCTTTTCCAAATAACAAATCCACAAACCCTTTCCATAGTGTGAAGGGGGCCTTAGTAAATATGCTACTTTGTAGGAAAAGGAACTGTTTCATACTAGTTCTCGAATCTTTCAAGGAATCAGCCACTTGTTACTTTTGGCTTTGCAAATTTTTCTGTAATATCTGAAGTTAATTTCTGCATGTGACTTGTGACAGATCTCCCTCTCCCTGTACAGTAAATTTAGCTTGAGGCATTGCCTCTGGAAAAAATGAGTCATTGTGGTGGTAACTGGTGGACGGAGGGGAACAGCATGGAAGCCTAGCCTAAAAGATTACACCTTTCCTGATTTTAAAAAAGTAAAATAAAATGGGCAGTAAGAACCTTGGAAAGAAGTAGGAGGAGAATATGAAAGTTTCCCATGTGCAGAATATATCCATTTGGCTGGGTACCCATTCAGTAACCTTTGCAGAGAGATAGTTGTGGATAACACATGTAGAACATTCACAAAACAAGTAATTTATTTTTTTTCAACGCCGTCTGCATAGGAAACCTAGTTTTCAACATTTAGGCACTGCTAACAGCATACTGTTAGTGTAGGTGCAGGTTGCATTTCTTTTGTTCCCAGGTCATGATTCTTCTACGAGCAGAAAATTGCCAAACTTTCACAGTAAAATATCATAAAGCAAACTGATTATATAAGCAGTGCTTCCCAAAATTATTCCTGTGTTTTGAATAGTGACAATGATTCATTACCTTTTGATAGTCTTCTCTTTCAAGCACTACTGCTAGTTTTTGCCTTTATGAGGCTCCAAGGCATAATCTTGGAGTAAAGTAGGAAGACAGGGTCTGTCACAGAGTCTAAGCTGGCCTTTAAAGGAAGTTAATAACTAATCCATCAATCCTAATCTTCACAAAAAGAGGCAGCACGGTACTTTATTATTATGGATGCAGTATTCTAAAGGCCAAGTTCAGAAGTGTAAGTGATACAAATTAGGCTGCTTTGCTTGTGTTTGGGCTCGTAGCCTTTATCTGAACAGAATTAAAGCAAGATGCAAACCAGAATCAGTTTCATGCCAATTTGTAAGAAAGCTTGGTTTGTAAATAGATAATATGGACTCAGAAATTAAATGAAGTAAGAATTACTGTTTAAGTTAACGTTTTATCATTTTGTCATACTACTGCACTGTTCTCAGGTAAGTTTTCAAGTTGTTTTAACTATTTCAGACTCCTTTTTGTTCCTATGGACTTAAAATGGTATGTTTGAAGAGAATGTACAAAGGTATATCTTGTATATTGATTCTGAAGCTCAGTGAAATCAATGAAAGCCTTAATATATCAACTTCAAGAGGCTAGCATCAAGCAGTGGAAAAAGATATATTTAGAAGAGCCTCAAAAGAATATAAAGCATAACTAGGAAGAGTACAAAAATGTCTTAAAAGATATGTCAGTTCAGACATATTAAAGATTGTTTTGGATTAATCTTTGATTTAGCTCTGGTACCTGAACCTTTTTCAGCTAATAATGTCCTGTGGGATGAAGAGGTATTTTTGTCTGATGCTTGAAGAAGTTTTTGTGTTTGATGTTTTCTAGACATTGTCAGGCTGAAAGAGATACCATAGTTCCAGAAAGAGTATACTGTGATGACATGATGTTAGAGGAAAAAAATCTAAAAATCCCTTAATGAAGATGTTGTGCCCCATTTTACCTTCCTGATCTCTATGTGGAAGGCCTTAGCAGAGAGTCTTGTCCCATTGTATCCTGGAAATTACCCCCAGAAGCTTTCCCAGCCACATGGAAAATATACCAAAACTGTGTATACATTCACAGTTCAAGACAGAGAAATTGGCAGTGCGTATTTTGTCCTTCAGAGCAAAGCTCCTCCTGTTTTTCTTCCAATCCTTGTATTTCCCACTTGCAGTGTACTTGTGGCAGTTTGCAAAAAGCCAGTTTGGCTTTGCAATATTTGTTATCCACAGATACTGACAAGTTCTAATAGGATAATGATAACTGCTGTGAAAAAGGGTCTGATGTGGTCTCCAAAGTCCATACCTAATGCTCAGTAAAACCTGAAATTAACATGGTTGTAGATGTATATAAAAGGAGAAAAACACTAACAATTGATAAAAATCATTCTACTTTATTTGCATGTGCCCCTTAACAGTGCTCCGTGCCTTTACTGTGCAAGCTCATCACATCTTGAGTACTGTGTAGAGTGTGGAAGTTTGCAATGTCTACACAAGTGCTTATTTCTCAAATGAAAAATGGAAAAGTGCCTAAAAAGAGGTAGTAGAAGAATGTCTTTAAATATAAAACCATCTGCTTTTGCAATTATATTTTCATATATTTGACCAACACAGGTAAATTTAGTGTGATCCTAATATCCTGTCTTCTTCAAGATCTTCATTTTTGGCAGAGAGCTTTACTTTATCCAGATCGTGTTGCAGTTAATGAAATATTTACACTATTGACAGCATTCTGAAGTGAAACTTAACTTCCAACCATCTAATGTTTCTTTTTTTTTTCCTTTACATCAGAACACTAAAGTGAAAAAAAGCTTTTATTTTCAACTCTTTGCTGTTGAATCCCTCCCTAAGCCTTTTAATTCGTGTTTTAATACTTCTTTCTAGAACATGAAAACATTTTTAAAAAAATGATGCGTTCTCTCCAGCAAAGACAGAGAAAACAGTTCTAAATCAGATTGAGCCTCTACATTATGGGGACCATCAAATCCTTCATTCTAGCAGTTGCCTCAGCAGAGAAAATGTATTAAGGTAGTTAGGATCATTTTAATTAGATTGAGGTCCCATATATGGCTGTCTAACTTTTTGAGGAACAGAGAAAGGGCAATAATACATCTGAAGGTCATCTGAGTCTCTCTAATAGACTGTGATACTCAGGCCAATTGTTAAATAGAGGAAAAATTGAGTTCTGGCGTTAACTTGTGTCAGCACCCAAAGCAAGGAAAGGATTTTCCTATGTTTCTGGTTAGGATCAGTTCTGCAGGTTTTCTTGCAGCGCATATCTCAAGCACTGCAACAGATTGTAGGTGTGTGCCCAGATTACATTAACAATCCCCTTTTATAACTGCAATCAAAGTTTATTCTGAAGTTATAAAGGTCATCCCAGTAATAGCATGACTGGGTGACATGACATATAACCATGACCTATTTCATAGTTCTCTTCAAAGATTTTTAATATTCATCAGAGAAAGTCTAGGAGGTGGGTTCTTTATTTACTCAATGAAAGCTTATAAAATAGCTATATTAAAATCTTTAGATATGTCTATGATTTTAATTTATTACCCTTTCTTGCTGTTTCTCAAATGTATTGTGTTCTGAATGCAGTTGACAGAGTAACAATATTGAATTATACCACAAGGCTTTATTTATGGGCAAACCATTTCAAAATTATAAAACAAAAAGGTTTTTTTCTCAAGTTTAGCTCTGAAACTAGATTTGACCTGGCTACGTGAAGAAACCTTCTTTATTTAGCATGCTTGGGCAAGCAGTGCTGTCTCCTGAGAGATTAACATTGTAAGCAAGTTATGCAGGTGACTCAAATCCAGTTAATCTCACATAAAGAATGTTAATTGCATTGGCAATGGCATTCACTCTGATCACTTCATAGCTGTATAATTAGCTATTGGACATATTCAAGGGGTTGTCTGAGTGATACAAATACAGGAAACAACATGAGAGGTAACTTGTTCTTTCCTGATTCACACTGTGCAAAATGCAGAGATTATGGAAAAATGGATATTGGTATTTTCATGTCCTTGCTAACTGGGATCTGTACTTACTGTTTATTTTCTAGCAAATTCTTAACTGTTTTGGAAAATACACAGTTTGAGTAGCCGATCTGAAACAAACACGTATGTATGTATACTCCTGAATTGCCTTGATGTGGAATCAAGTGATTTACCTAATGACCTGTGAGCCGTTTACTGTCTCATCAGCTGGATTCACCTCAAAATGTGATAGGAATTTATTTTCTCATCTCCTGTATAGAAGCATTTACAGCCACAAGTAGCAATCTCATAAATATGCATACATTAGTTTCTTAGCTGTTTACAGGCAACTTTTATAAACATGGTCTAAAATAATTTTTGTAGGCAGACCAAGCCAACATACAGGCACATGCAGAGTTACTTAAATTCAGTGTGGGTGAACCATGGTCTCTAAATCATCTATAAGGATGCTGATCTGGATCTAAATTTCTTGGTTTAGGATCATCTCTTGAAAAACAAATACCAGAATGTAGAGTGTATTGTGTATGAGCTCAGAGCAGGGGTTGGTCTGAGCTCTTCTTAGGAGAGAAGTTGTCAATAAGATACTCTTACAAACTCACAGAAAGTTTCATTAAGATATTCCCTTACACATAATTACAGACAGGCCAAGTGCATTGCTTAGCATTAAAGTTAACAGCTAATGCTTTTGTTACTTTGTCCAGTTTTAATAAGTTTGTCAAACTGAAAGGCTTTATCCAAAATTTTCCATGCCTGATTGGATTGGAAAACTGATTTTTTTTTTTTTTTTAATTGCCAAAATAATTCATTCTTCTCTAAGAATGTTGAAGTTCCTGCAGTTTGGAGGTGAAAGGGATAATTGGAGGGAAATGGGGAAGGATTTGAAGGAGAGGAATGGAGGAAGCTTTTTATTCTGAGAAATGCAGGTCCCTCATATTGAATAACAGGGACTTAAAATTTGATGGGAAATAGCTACACTATGCCAGAGAGGTACTTTTTTGCTTGTCCAAAGAATTTTCACTATATTTAGCCAATTATGCACCTCTAAAAAAAAAAATTTTAAAAAATCATTAATTCATATGCCAGAGACACCAGGTAGAATGCAGGTCTGAATAGCATTTTCCTGCAACTGCACTGCACTCCTGCTGCTGTCACTCTCCTGGGATGATGCTTGGTTACTTCGGCCGATTTTTCTTGTGTTAATATTGTGGATGGGCTGTATCTGGGTGGCACAGAGAAAAGAAGCTCCGGTTCAAGTGTAGTTCAAACACGCAGCAGAGAAGAGTCAGTTTGCTGTGAGGTATGAAGAAGTGAGAGGCATGGATAGTTGGAAGGAAGACTGGATTTGTGAACTTGCTGGGTTCCAGCTGTGAAAAGCAATATTCTGGGCTAGGAGGAGACAAATCAGCTAAGGAAGCAGTTGGCAGCTGGAAAGAGCTGGCACAGCCAGTGACTGAAACGGAAAGGGACTTGAGGCACTGTCACAGGCTGGCAAAAACACGTAGGTGAGGGTCGAAGCAAACCTAGCTGGAGATTGGGAAGCATCAGGAGACTACATGCACAGGTAAGGAAAAGTCTGATGAAGCACACTCAGGACAAGGAGCTGTAGTGAAGGTTATATATGGCTTGTACACAGACTTGAAACAGGGAATAAAGACTGAGATTTCAAGGTGCAGAGAGAGACTAGAACTGAATTTACTTGCCCAAATGCTGCTGGAACCTGTAGGTCCTGGGCGGGACTAGGAATGGGACAAAAACAATGGCTTGGGAGAAATGGGGAGAAGAATCTCTGCCCGATAGACATGTTTTTATCTCTAGCATCTAAAAAAGTGCTATAGATTCTTGAGCGTGTCTATTCTTCTGCTGACAGAATATGCTTTTCCCTGCCAATAGGTTCTCCTGCTAGTATTATGGAATTCCTATGTGATGCTGTCACTCATTTACATAATTATTAACAGGTGGTTTTGTGTTCCTTATTTCCTGACTTAATATTCTAATTTGCAAAAGTGGTGAAAATTTTATCGGCTGCAACTGAATTCAGTGGAAGCTGAGCTTTGAACACACAAAATTAATGATATATTCTCCCCCCCAAAAAATTGGCAGGTTTGTGTCTCACATTGAGCATCAAAATTTAGGAGATATGTTTTACCTTGCTTTCTTAGACCTCCATCGCACTTCGGAGAGGAGCTATGAAAATAAGTGAATTGTTTATGAACCGTTAAGATAGGTGTAATGGAGGTCATGAGGAAATTAATAATTCCACCTTTGAAGTGAAGTTTGAGTAGCATGACAGGAGGCCACCCACTAAATGGTACAACTAAAGCAAAATATTAAACACCTGCTCATTAAATAAATACCAACAATCTGGAGATGTTTGGGGAAAAAACAGCATGTGATCATATAATTGCAACCAGTCCCATAAGGCATAAACAGAAAGGGAGTGATTAAAAGGCACGCAGACAGCCTTAGTTCCGGCACTGAGGTGCTGCATGCTTGATTTTGCAATGTTATTAATATTCTTTTAATGTTGGGGGTTTTATTATTTGGATATAATAAACATGGATAGCCAACCCATAAACTCAGCTCTGTAGTTATCAAGACAAACTGCCTGAGTCAGAATCTGGTATTGCTTACATCTGTGTGAATTTTGAATAATTTTTTAAGTGACATCACACCCTTCAACTTGCTAAGAATGAAATGTGAGACGTAGCGTGCAGCCAGTTTTAAATGTCTTTATAATAAATCCCTGTCTTGAGTGGAAATACTACTTCATATAAACCCAGTCTTACAATGGTTTGGCTCTAGCATAAATAATTTATGATGATAAAAGTGTGGTATGGCTAGGAGAGGACAGAACAAAATTTATGTAATCCAAAGGCAACTTAGAAACCAACCCCAGTGACATCCTTTCAAATTCAATTACTGGTACTTTGAGTTTGTACCAGTATAACTGAGATCAGATTGTGGCTCTGCATCTGGATTTTAAGCAGGCCTGTACAACATTATGATGATTAATAATATTTGTAGCCATGCAGGCTAACATAACAAGGGTAAACAGAACTTATTATTCAGACCTTAATTTAGTTTTCCATGGTGAAGTTAGCAAGGGGGATCAGGGAAGCTCTGACCTCTATACGATAGTCTGCAATTGGCTGAGATGCATAACATGGAGTTTACGTTTTCCTCCAAAGCATCAAGATATTGATTATTGCCAAAGGCAGCTCTCTCCACTGGCAGCTCATCTATTGCTAGAGCAGGCAGGAGCTTTTAGATCATGTCCTGTGTATGCAGTGGTGAAGAGCCAAAATGTTCGCACAGAAGGGCACGGCCATGGAGATCTCTCGGCTGGTGTGGCAGGTGGGCAGTCAGTGCTAGCACAGGCTTCCTTCTGGTGGCACTCAGCTCTTGCATCAGGGCTGGATGTGACAGCCCCTGCCTCTCCAGCCTGGCAGTCATCTTCCAGGCTCTTTATGCTCATCATCAGTTCCACTTGTCTGAATTTGTGGAGCTCAGCCTCCTTTCTTTGTTCTGTAAATCAGTAAGCAAAAAGATGCTGAAAAGTGAAAAGTGTTCATTTCAACCCTCTGACTCACTAAGGAATTTTAATGTCTCTTTCCAGAACGGCCCACGTTTCTCAGGCGACCGATTAACCAAGTGGTGCTGGAGGAGGAGGCCGTGGATTTCCGATGCCAGGTGCAGGGGGATCCCACACCCACAGTCCGGTGGAAAAAAGATGATGCAGACTTACCGAGAGGAAGGTGAGAGCAACATTCATGTTCCCCAGACTTTCAAATTTCAGTTGTTGAGTAATGCTGGAATCACTCCCTACTACTTAGAGTTTGTTATTTGACATTATGGTGAAGATTTATTTCCCATAATGCTGGTCTTTGGCACTACAAAACCTGTTCCAGAGCCAGTTGAGCAGGGAAACCCAGTCTGTGTTGATTTGTCCACATAACGGATTGCCATGGAAGGAAGAAAAGTGATGTGTCAGTATTGTGAGCACATGGGTATTCACTGAATTTGCTGGAGAAAGTAAAGATGTTTTAGGGATGTACTAGTGATAGTAGCCTTCATAATAACATGCTGATACCAAAAGGGAGAAAACTTGGCTGCAGAGTTGCAGAGCCACTCCACTGCACTAGCAGGATGAATTAGAAGCAGAGCACTGTGGTGGGCTTTGCTGGCTCCTTGGCTCATGTCTGTTAAGTCTCAGAGAGAAACCTTCCTCTTGAGGAAATGAAAAAGCAAACTAGCAGAAGTGGAAAACAAAGTTGAAATCTGTAACAGGCCCCTTGTGTTCAAGAAAGATTCATTTAGTCTGGAACAAACATGGAGAAAATTCTAGAGTGAGCAGGTGATGAGAATCTGTCCTATAAAAGGACATTAAATTAGCTTTGCTCCTTTCAGCTAAAGGAGCAGAGTTTGGTCCTTGCTTTCTGGAAGTTTTTCTAGTTTTGGTGCTGAATCATTATTAGATTAAAAAGTCTTAACAGAGAAATAGGTCTGGGAACAGGAATGAGAACCCAGGTCTCCATAATGCAACCAATCCTTCTGGCCCTATGAGTCCTGACTCATTTTTGCACAGTGCTTTTAATTTCAAGAGGAGACATGAATAGTGCCTTTTTTTCCCCACCACAGTTGATTGTTCTTTCCTGTCAGTGTTGGTTATCCCTGCGACGTTGCCAATGGAATTTGAAGAAAGGAAAAAATAATAATCTAAATCTTCTGTTCTTCAAAGAAGTGTTTTAAACACTGGACTTGCATAGGCTGGCTGCCAGCGTTACTTCTGCTCCTCCATTCATGATCTTAAAAGAAGAGCAGCTGCAGTGGTGTTTGTGGCCAGTTTCTGTCAGTGTATATTAAGTAAGCGCACTGTGAGCACACTACTAGACTAGGCCTAACTAAAACAAGTTAGACATTGCTATCTGCTTTCTGTATCACAGCATGTTTTACATCTTCAACCCAACAAGGTGAAAAAAGTGTTAAGACTGTTATCTGGCAGTCTTCATCCACTTGCTAAATATGGCATTTAGTGTCACATACGCTTTCATGAAAACTGATGGCAAAATTCCTCAGAGTCAGACAGCACTTAATCATGTTTGCATCTTGGGTTAATATCTTTCGTTTCTCAATTTCTAAATCCTTTAACAAAATCCCAAAACTCAAATTGGAGAATACCTGTTTTAGTTTCCACATCCTCAACTCTGTAAGATGTCTTACAATTATTCAGTTAAATATATTAATGTAATGATACATAATCTAGAAAAAGACATTTTTATATAAGTACAGATACGTATGTGTGTGTATATATATATACTTACATTTTTAAATTAATTTCCTTGCAATTTAAAACAAAATAAAAAATGACATAACATTTTTGCTAATTATATTGATAGATGTGTATGCATGTAATACATAAAATATTATTTTGAAGAGCAGACTTTTAGATGGCAGAATGAATTTTTCTCTTTGCTTGTGTTTTGGGTTTGTGTGGCAGGGTTTTTGGTAGCGTGGGAGGGGCCACAGGGGCGGCTCCTGTGAGAAACTGCCAGAAGCTTCCCGGGCTCCAAGCCGGACCACGTCTGGCCCAGGCCGAGCCCGTCAGTGACAGTGGTCGCGCCTCTGGGAGAACAGATTTAAGAAGGGGAGCCAGTAGCGAGTGGGGGATCGGAATGTGAGAGGAACCCCTCTGCAGACACCGAGGTCAGCGAGGAAGGAGGGGAGGAGGTGTGCCGGAGGAGGGGATGCCCCTGCAGCCCGTGGTGGGACGGGATGGCAGGCTGTCCCCCCCAGCCCATGAAGGGGAGCGGAGGCCCCCAAGATGGCCGCGACTCCGTGGGAAAGCCCGCGCTGGAGCAGTGCGTGACTGAAGATCGGCCCGCGGAAAGGCCCCGCGCCAGGGAAGTTCGGGAAGAGCTGAAGCCCATGGAAAGGACCCACGCCAGGGAAGTTTGTGAGGAACTGCAGCCCGCAGAAAGGACTCACGCTGGAGAAGTTGGTGAAGGACTGTCTCCCGTGGGAGGCACCCCACGGTGGAGCAAGGGACGGGTGAGGAGTCCTCCTCCCCGGAGGAGGAAGGAGCGGCAGAGACAAGGTGTGGGGAGCTGACCCCAACCCCTGTCCCCTGTTCCTCTGCGCTGCCGGGGGGAGGAGGCAGAGAGAGCCGGGAGTGGGAGGGAGGGCTGGGGGGAAGGTGTTCTCAGGTTTGGGTTCACTTCCTGATAGCCTTGTTTTGATTTGATTGGTAGTAAATTAAATCGATTTATTTTCTTCCCCAAGCTGAGCCTGTCTTTTGCCCGTGACCATATGTGGTGAGTGACCCCTCCCTGTCCTTGTCTCGACCCACGAGCCTGCCTTTATATTACCTCCTCCTCATTCTGCCAGGGCCAGGGTGGAGGAGTGAGCAAGCCGCTTCGTGGTGCTTTGTTACCGGCTGGGCTTAAACCACAACAGCTTGCTATTTGACTATGCATTGTAGAGTAGTCCATAGTAAATACATTGTGCTTCTGTGATTTATTCTTACTGTTGTGCTACTTCTGTTGTTTTAATTCACATCTACTTTTAGTTCTCATAAGCAGAAGTAATAGATGATGAACCGACAGTGCCTTTGATTAGATTGCAGTTTTATTGGTTTTTTTTTAATGGCTGTGTTCCTTCTTTTTCTTTTATATCTTACTGAGAAAAATATAGTATTATGCGCTTCAAGGTAGTTTTTTCTGTTCACTCAGAATGTATTTCTAAGGAAGAAGAAATGTAAGAGGAAGCATAGGAAGAGTTTTCACTGGGCTGTTAACTAAAATAAGAGAAGGTTCATCAAATATATTCTGATCATAATCAACTTCAGGCTCAGAAACTACTCACAATGTTTTGCAGTATCTTTACATTGCTGTTTAACATTTCATTAACTGTGTTTTGGCACCTTAAAATAGAAAGTGGGGGTATGTCTTTATGTCTGCTTCCCAGAACGTCAGAGGTGTGGGTAAAGAAGGGACAAGGTTGCAGAATCTCAGGCTGGAGACCACCTTGGGTGATAGAGGACTACCACTGTCCCTTCCCAGGTAGTGGGTTACCACCACCTGAGCCACACGAATTGTGGTCATCTACTAGAGTCCAACGTCTACACTTTAAATGCAAATACCTCTGATGATCAGGACTGTATGTTTTCTTTTCTAAAATGTATCATTTATATAGCAAGATACATAGCAGAGTCTTCACTGTCCAAAAAGCGGAAATTTCTAAACCATGCTACATGATGCTTAATCAAGGAAGATAAACTTCGAACATCTGAAAGAAAAGCTATTGTTTTTTTCTTGATTTTTTTAAAACGCAAGCAAATAAATTTGCCCATTTATAGTCTGAATTAATGGGAGGATGAGAAAATGATAATATAGCAATTTTATAAATTAAGAAGGGAATTTCTAAGTTTTTCCTCCTTGATGAAGTGGGAGATTTCTTTTTTCCTTTTTTGAGGTAAAACCAAAATTAGCTTTCAGCTTCTGATCTCCTGTATTTTAAGCATTTAACTTCTACAGTGAAATATGAAATCCTCAAGGAATTCCCTTTGTTAGTCTTCCTACATGCATAAATCCTTCTTCTGAGCAGATCTGTGCAGCTATTTGTCTTATAGCTTTCAATATCAATTTCCTGTTTCTACAGCTAATTACTTTCTTTGCACATCTGTCTGGTTTTGTTTTTTCAATAATTTCCTTTCTGCTTCATCCCTAGTTTACAAGACAATTATAGTAGGGACCTGTTTCAACAATTACTACAAATTTTTAAATGTGTCTATTGTTAGTTCATCTTTCAAAAGTGTCTAGTTCAGCAATAGCAAAGTGGGATAAACTGAATTTTTGTATGCATCTTGTTTCTGTAATTTGCTTCTGGTGAATGCCAGAATCAGTGATACTGGATCTGTAGTCTTTCAGAAATCCTTCTCTGTTTTTCCACTTTACTTCCTTTCAGCTTTTTTAGTGAAACATGTGAAAGCAAAGAGAAAAGTAATCACAGTAATTTCTGGTGAGAAATATAAACAGTATTGCTGCACCTATTGGTGTGTTGAGTAATAAATGGAAAATAATTTCAGGCTGTTGCAGTTTTAATTATAAAGGTCCCTGGTGAACTGTAAGCACGTCTAGTTGCAGTTTGATTGAATGAAGAAAAAAAAGCAACTTCTAAAGAAAATATTGTGTTTGAAAATATGACTATTTTTTAAAAAATTAATTTGGCCATTTTGTTGAATTGTCTATGTAATTACCCAGAAATTTATGAATAACCATGCTTTAAAACTGAGAACAGATGGACATAAGTTTATTCTGAGGGCGCAAGGCTTCATTCCAAATTTTGAATTGATGATCTAAAACAACTGTGATAGTTTGTATTTTGAATTTAAAACCTTAAAGTGGTTCTTAGAGTGGAAGTTTTCAAAATGCCTGGGAAAAATAGGTCTCACTAGCAGTCAAAGGAAGTTACTTGCCCAACATCCTGTAGACCTGACTTGAGATTTCAAAGACTGTGGTATACATCATGGAGCTTTTCTGTGTATGGCTGGGCAGGAATTAGGAAAGCGCTAAGAAGGACCAGGTGGAAACAGTGTTGAGACTTACGTATGCTATCTGTGTTCATATTTCTTTTACATTGCTGTGAAAATGAATTATTAAATTCTTCAGAGCTGAAAATTCTTTTCAGAGCCTAAACCAATTGCAGCTAATTAATAACTTGCTATTAAAAACGTTGATACTACACCAACAGGGAGAAA